CAGCAAAGCGGTGCTGTGCATCTCCAGAGGGATTTTGCTCCAGGGGAGGTGCCTGAGAGCACAGCTCCTGCTGCCATCACCTACACACAGCCCACAGACCTGGACACGCTCTGCAGCAGCGTTGGGAAAGCAAAAATTGGGAGCTGTGTTCTCCTGGGTGGAAAATCCAGGAGATTTGCATGGAGGATGTACACTTTGGGGTCCCCATGGCTGAGGAATGGGGTGGGCACTCCGGAAAGCCTGCAAATAAAGGTTGAGGGCACATTGCACAATGCATTACACCCCCCAGGACACGCATATCCACAGCCAACTCACATTCAGCCATCCTAGAGCAAACCCCCATAGCCACCCACAGCCCTAGCATCACCACCAGAGCCACAGGACCCCACAGCCCAGCCTGGAGCATCCCCCAGAACACTGTGGTGGAAGAACAACCAGGAAAACAACCAACACAAGCCTTCTGTTTTTAATTTAATGTTTCTTTTTTCCTCTGGACCACGCTGTAGGAAGGAACAGAGCCATTGCCCACACAGCAGTGCAGCACAGCCACCCCACAGTCACCCACGGGGGGAGGAGGGGGCTGATACTGAGCTGGGCTAATCCAGTGCTGATGAAGTTTAACATTAACTCACACACGAGGCAATAAATAAAGAAGCATTGCCTTAGGAAAGGCGCTTTTTTCTTTTTTTTTTTTCTCCTTTCACCATGAAAAATTGGCATCAGAGCCCCTTTTCAGGCTGCGGTGTGGGGCAGCTCTGGGTTTCCTGCAGCCTCAGCTCATCACCATCACAGTGCGTGCGCTCTTCCAGTTGGTGCTTCATTCCAGTTAGGTTTCTCAGAGCAGCAGAAGGATGGGGCTGCACCCCATTGCAAGCAAACCCCAGCCTGCAGCCAGGGCTGCCTCCTGCCTGCACCTTGCTACATCTCCAGTTGTTTGAGGTATATTACCTGCCCCATCTGTTATCTTGTGCAGCCAAAAAAATAACAAACAAAACCAGTGCAAAGAAAAAGAAATCCCACCCCTCACCCCATTTCATCCCTCCCTTGAGATGAGCCTCTCTGCACGGAGGGCAGCAGGGAGGGACAGTGTGGTGCCACAGAGAACACTTCTTCCCCTCAGCAGGAGCAGGGGGGGGCAATGGGGCAGCTTAGGGCTTTGGTCCTTTTATCACCCCCTCTTCTCTAAGATGTGCACTCAGGGCACCCCCTTCCCCAGCCCACAACCCTGTGTGCATCCAACATCCTCCTGGAGGCTGCAAAATAAATAGGGGGGGGGGGGGAATAACAAACAGGGCAGCCCCCCTCCCGAAACAAGGGAGCCCTGGAGGGAGAAAGGAGGGGTTGTGCCCCCCCCTTCCCACAGCAGGGACCATCCCAGGCTCAGGGACCCCATCCCTACAGCCACAGGATGCCCTCAGCTCAGCTTCATGCTGATGGCCACGGCACGCCGGTACACCTCGGTGATGTTGTCACAGCTTTCTCCCAATGCACTGGGGCAGTGGGTCACGGTCCAGCGGCGCAACCTGCGCCCTTCATCCACCTCCTCCTCCTCCTCCAAGCACAGGAGGCTGTCAGCAGAGACGCAGCCCCTCATGGCCCCGCTGCTGCCCGCGGGGACGCGTGGGGGGAGGTCGAGCTGCTCAAAGGATTCGGTGGAGAGGATGCTGTCCTCGCTCACAGCGCTGGGTGGGCGAGGGCGGGGGGCAAGGGGGGCTTTGGGCAGGGACACCTCATCAAAGCATCCAAAGCTCTGCCTGGGGGGGCTGTGGGGCTCAGCACTGCTGGTGTATTTGCTGCTGTGCTTGAGGATGCCCTTCCGGCTGCTGGGAAGGACGGGGGGGCCCTGCTCAGTGGTGGGGTTGTCAGCAAACACGTTGCTCTCAAGGTCCAAGCTCCCTGCATCCAAGACGTCCCCGGATTCACAGCATTCCAGGGATGAGTAATACCCTGATTCCCTCTTTGGGGGCTTTTTTAGGATTCCCTTCTTGGGCACAGCCACAGGGACCACACTGCTGCCCTCGCTATCCCCCAGCACTGCAGAGGGTAGCACCGGGCTCAGCCCCACAGCAGTCACATCCCCATCCTCACTCTTCGCCTCTCCCCCAGGAGCTGTTGGCGGAGGGATGGGCACCTTCTGCTCGCAGGAATTCCTCTTCTTCAGGATGCCCTTGGGCCGCTTGAGGATGGACTTGGAGGGGTTCTCCGGGACTGCAGCCCCCTCCTGCAGTGCATGGGAGACATCGTTCTCCTTCTTGGACTTCTTAAGGGAGCGCTGCCTCTCCAGGGCCACACCAGGGATGTGCTGCTTGAAGAAGCACCTCACTTTGGAGCCGTTTTCAAAGAGGGGTCTGGAGGAGCGCCGCAGCCACTCGGCCACCGTGGCCAATGGGGATTCACTGCTCTCCCTCAGCAGCTCCTGCTCACCGACGGGCACACGGTAGCCCCAGTTGACCCACCAGTGTGTGGCGATGTCCTCAATGGTGGCACGGCGCTCCGGGTTCACCATCAGCATCCACCGGATCAGCCCACAGGCATCTGGGGGAGAGAGGAAGGTCAGGCACCAGGAGAACATGATTTGGAGGATGGAACGCATGGGGTGGTGGGGGTCTGCCTACCTGACAGCTTCGTGGGCTCCCGGTAATCCCCGCTGGTGATCTGCTTGACCAGGGTCTTGTAGTCGTGGCCATCAAAGGGCATCGTGCCATGGACCAGGATGTAGAGGAGGACACCGAGGGACCAGCTGTCCACCTGCAGGAAGGATGGGGACCTTGAGGCGAGGGCAGCAGGACCAGGCCACCACCCCAGGTCATGCCATGGGGCAGGACCACCCCCCATGGGGCAGGACCACAACACCCAGTTCACACAGTTCTCTGCCTCAGGAGGCTGCTTCCCCAAAAAGGGTCTCTGCCATCCCAGCTCCCATACGGGGAGAACACCCAGAGCTGCCCCAAACCCAAGCTGAGAGGCACTGAGACCACCTGACAGGGCACCACGTACCTCTGGGCCTTTGTAGGGCCGTCCGTTGATGATTTCAGGTGAGGCATAGAGGGGGCTACCACAGAACGTCTGCAGGAATTTGTCCTGCTGGTAAACGTTGGACAGGCCAAAGTCTGCAATCTGGAGAGAATCACAGAATCATCATTGAACGGCTTAGGTTGGAAGGGTCCTTGAAGGTCATGGAGCTGCAAACTTCCTCCTTTGGGCAGGATTACCAGCTGCTACAATAGGCAGCCCAGGGCCCCATCCAACCTGGCTTTGAGCACGTCCAAGTTCACAGCTCTTAGCAAGCAGCAAGGCTGCTGTCTGCAGGTGGAGCAGTGGCTCTGTGTCCAGCTGTGACCAGAGCAGCACCACAGGGCTCTCCTGTGGCTCAACTACAGCCACAAAGCTGATACGTGCCCTATCAACTCTGCTAGCATGTGGGCACTCGTTATGCCCAGGACAGCCACCGCTCAGGGAGCAGAAGGCACGGTCCCAATGACATCAGCACCCAGTGCACAGATAAAGTTTATCCCATCCCTTTATCTCCAACCACTCTGACCCAGGAGAGAGGCACCTGGCTGCCCCGTGCTTGTGGGAATTGAGACTTTCACTGGGAAACCACTTCTTCCTCAGCATGTTTTGTTTTGAAGTCCGCTTCAGACTTTGCCCTCTTATCAGCAGAGAGATAAACGCTGATGGCTTTTACTCTGACGCTCTACCTCTGCAGCCTCTCCCTTTCAGTTGCAGATCACAGGGGCAGCCCTCTGGTCCCCATCTCTCAGCCTCGCTCTCTCATTCCAGGGCAAACAGCAGCAGCCTTCCCAGAGCCATAAGGGGTGGACCACATGCCTTGGGAGAAATAGGGCATCACAGCCCCCCTCCCTGCGCCAGCATCCCTGAGCTCTTCGTTGAGTGAACCCCAATGTATGGCCACGGGCCAACAGCCCCTCACCTTGATGTTCCCATTGGCATCGAGAAGGATGTTCTCCAGCTTCAGGTCCCTGTGAACGATCCCATTCTGCAAGAGGGGAGGAGAGGCGGGTTGAGCTCACAGGATGTTTGAGGAAGGGAAATGAAGCACAGGGAGGTCACTGCCGTTCACAATGCCAGCACAGTGGCGACAGCATGGGCGTTCACATCAGTGACAGCAAAGAGATAACAGCAAATAACTCCGGCTGCTTGCACGAGGATGAGCTGTAAACCACGTCCTGAATTGGGTGCTTGCTATCAGCACCCCATGCCACGTCGGGCTCCTGCATCCACCCCAGCCCTGTGCCCACAGAAGCAGCCGGTACCCCATCCCCAGGGTGAGCACAGCTCCGTGCTTTGTAGGATTTGCTAAGCCGTGCACCAGTCTGCACCGTGTTCAGGAGGTGTCTGCGTCCCCCCCATTCTTGCCACAGTACCCAGCACAAAGCATGAGCCCAGCACAGCCTTACAGCACCCCTAGGGAGACCCCCAGCACCCACCCAGCACACAGAGCCCATCCCACAGCCAAAAGGAAGAGGTGCTGACCCAGAGCTCAGCCCTGGGCGTCTCCCCCCGACACGGGTGGGACAGTGCAGGGTTACTCAGCCTGACACCACAGCAGCCAGGCAGCACTTTCCTAAAAGCTGTCGGGGCACTTCCCCCGCAGAGGCCCGAAGGCACCGCACCCTTCAGATAAGGAGCGGGATTAACCCCGATTCCCAAGAAAACCCAACAGCCCCGAGCATCCCACAGCTCCCAGCCCTGACTGAACATCACCACCAGATGTGCCTCCTTGGGATCTGAGCCCACACAGCCCCCACTCACCTTATGGCAGTAGTAGACAGCCGACACAACCTGCCGGAAGAAGTGGCGAGCCTCCTGCTCCGACAGCCTCTGCCTCTCACTGATGTAGTCATACAGATCTCCTTTGCTGGCGTACTCCATCACGATGACAATCTTGCTACTGTTCTCAAACACTGGATGGGAATGGAGACGGGAAGCATTAGGAGGGATGCTCAGAGCCCTCGATGAGCGGAGGTCCTGGCCGAACCCAACACATGGCATGCCTGCCTGCGTGCTTTGCAGAACGGGAGGTGCTGGGTTTGTGACCTGGAGGTCAGATGGGGACAATGGGATTTTTTTGGCCACAGATGTGCTTGGTCCTCCAGGAGGAGGCTGAGACATGGACCTGCCATGCTTCACAGACCCCACCTCCCAGGGAAAGGCTGGGAGGCATGGGCACAGCCAGGCTTTGTGCATTCCCAATTGCTCCCACTGTGCTCCACAGCTGGAGTGCTTTCCTCCTATTTGCAGAAAGCTGCCTCAGTATTTTTTGAATTCCAGCAATCAGCGTGACTCAGCCCTTGCAAACACCTTCTATAAACCACCAGCCAGTGTGCTTTTGTTTGGAGGACAAAAGGACTTTGGATACCTCACGTACACCACAGAGGTGGCAACAACACACACACACACCTGGCGCAGAGAGACAAACCCCAGGCACCAGGAAGGGCACAGCCACGCTGCTTTGTCACCAAGGGAGCGAGGAGCAAGTTTCCAACTGGAGCAGCCCAAATCTGATCCTGAGGACTTGCCCTTCGGCTGCCATCCGCATTGCCCTGACAGCCTGGGAGCAGAGCCCAGTCCTGGCCATACAGCAGAAACCAGCAGCAGGAGCTTTTGCTGAAGTTGTGGTTTGGTTTTCCTATGCCCCAGGGAAGGGAAAGGATGGCAGGAGCAAGTTCTGCTCCTGCCTCAAGCTGCAGGGAGTCCTGCTGCTTTGGAGCTTGCTGGTTCCCCTGCCATGGATTCCCCACAGCGAGCTCCTATGGGGTAAATCAGGGAAACGGCCAAAAGGAAAAGAGGCAGTGAGGAAGGAGCTCACCTTCATGGACGGCGATGATGTGGGGGTGGTTGAGGGACGACATGATCTCTATCTCCCTCCTGATATGGATAAGGTCCTGTTCATCTTTGATTCTGTCCTTCTGGATGGACTTGATGGCCACCTGTGAAGGAGGACACACAGTGATCACCCAGGAGCACCACATCATCCCACGACAGGGCAAGGAGCACCTGCCCTTGGGAAGGGGCTCAGCATCCCTCCCTGTGCCTGCAGCTCTTACAGGAGCCGAGTCCCAGCCAGCCTGGGCTGCAGCCAGAGGAATGCAACCTGCACATGGCTGCAGAGATAACGTCTTCTTGGGGTCACGGAAATGAAAAAACAGGTTTTGTTCTCCTCGCAAGTACTTATTTCAAGGAGCTGATTATGGAGAGGGAAGGGAATGTTTGGTGTGAGGGAGCAGAGGCAGAGAGCTCAGGACTGGGCTGATGATGTGAGCTGCATTCCGGCTTCCATTGGCTTTTCAAGCTCTCTTCTACGAGGAAATTGAAAGGGGAGGAGAAAGAAGAGTGAGAGCTGGAGAATAGATGCCTTCTAATCCTTTTTCAAAGGGGCTGAGGAGAAACAATGCGCTCCTAGGGTTGAATTTACAACTGAATCCAGCAGAACCTTTTTTTTGTACCAGACAAGAATGCGGAACAGAGTTAATCCACCAAGGGACCCCCACTCTGGGTCTCATGGCAACAAGGAGGGGGCTGTGGAGAACCAACAGGCCCAGCTGCACGGGGCCCCTTCTATAGGTGGTGTTCAGGACCTCTGACATCGCTCCCTCTGGCTTAGGGGAGCAAGAAACCCCAGTGGCAGACCCAGGCTGACACACATTTGCCACGACAGCAGAGCTGAGCAGAGTCCACCGCAGCCCCAGGAGCCAGCAGATGCTACAGCAGTGAGATCTCAGCTGCCACAATGCTGTCTTCATGGTGTAAGTCTGACTCTGCAGCAGCCGAGCAGAGCAGATTCCGGCCACGGGAGTTCAATAACCCAGACACGGGGCGTTGTGCAAAACAATACTGAAAGCAATACTGAAGGCACTTCATCATAACTTCTCGAAACCCAGGTATTCCTTGCCAGAACCTTCGCTCCGGGTGAGCAGGTTAAAGTTTAACGATTTTCGCTCCAGCTCTCCTGATTACGTGACCCCCATGCAATGCAGGCAAAGCCTTTATGCAGAGAATTCCCTGCTCCTGCTTCCCACTTCCCTGCTGCTCCACTCTTCTCATCTGCTGGCCCTCAGCACTGCACTTTGGGGTGCTCACAGCAGACTGAGGCTGAGCCTGGACTCAAAGCGAGACCTGCTGCCAAGAAAAGACAAAGCAGCCGCAGGGTGGGATGCCTCAGGAGGTGCCATTGGCTGTGTGTGCCCTGAGCAGGGAACACTCACACTTAGTGACCTTCACCAGCAGGTTTAGTGCTTGCAGAGCCCCAGGGCTCTCCTAACGGACAGCACGCAGCAAGGAGAAGCCACTGCTTGGGTCTCACCAGAGCCCAAACCATTAGAAGCAGTGACTGATCCACCCATCAGCCCTCAGGCTTCTCACCCTTCCCCAGAGGTACTGAGCAGCTGCTTTGTCCCAGAACATCCCCTCCCTAACTGCAAGTTGCAGCCCTTAGAGAGGGGAAGGCATGCCAGCAGTGGGGATGGCAGCTCCAGGGATACAGGAACACAACCAACATCCCCAGCTCCATCAGTGCTACGTGGAAAAAAAATCTCCTGCAGGAACCAGCCCCGCTGTCAGAGCCCTGAGAACTCGCGAGTACTTTCCAAGTCAAAAAGGCTTTTAATTAAACAGTTTTTTGGGGGCAGAACAGGTATTTTCAGCAGCTGCTGAAAGATGCATTAAGCTACAACCTCAGGCAGCACTTCAGAAGTTGTTCCAGATTGCAAGTGCTGCGTTTCATGCTCCATGAAATATGGATTACAACGCACTCCGGAAGGGACAGGGGTTCACCCCTTAGTGGAGATCAAAGGAGGCTTTGCTGCTTTGGAACACTCCAGGTGCTGCCTTCCCCCAACGCTGCACAAACCCACAGATCCATTCCTGACCCCACAAAAGTCCCCACCAGCTCCTGGTTGCCTGGGGCTGGGGAAGCGGGCTGGAAGAACCGTGGGATGGGAAGCAAAGGACCAAATGCTGCCCTGGCAGCAGGTGCAGGATGCACCACCACAGCATAAGCCTTCAAAATGAAAGGTGTGAGGGGGTAGGGCAAAAAATAAAAATAAAAATAAAAGGGACAGAAAAGAAGGACGGCCAAGCAGCTGAGAAATATGGCTCAATATTTAGTCTGTCGTCTGTGCAGTTTGATTTAACCAGAGGCCAAAGCCGTGCACGGAGCAGCTCCAGTGCTGCTGTAATGTAGGATCTGCACAACCCAGGAGGGGTAACCCAGGAGCAGCAGTGCCTGCTGGCACCTCGGCCTTTGGGAAGTGAAAGCCACTTAGAGAAGGAACAAATATCTGAGCTTGGGATAAGCCTAAAGATTAAACAGGTCCGGAAATGCTGAGTGGTGCAAGAAAGAATTTGTGGGAAGAGGAGAGATTTGTGGTTAAGCCTCCTGTTCCCACAGGGCCGGCTCGCTGCAGTACTAGTTAGTCCAGCCTTTGACTATCTTTGGCACTTATAGAAGAGCCACTGGTGTGTGGATTTGATTTGCATTATAATGGACTTATGCTACCAGACAAACAAGTCTCTGTCCTAAGGGGCTTCCACAGGTAGGAACCTTCTCCCGTGGCTCAAAGATCCACTGCACAAGCTTTGTTTGGTACAGAAAGGGCTCCTCATCCACCCCAGGGATGAGATCCTCCCAGGCTTCTGGGTGGGAACAGCATTGCAAGGCCCTGGTTACGCAGCAGCATCAGATAGGGGAATGGAAACGGCAGATCTGACTTAATGAAGAGCTGTTGGAGAGGAAAACCTCTCCAGCTCACAGTTGTTTTCGATGACACGCTCCAGGGGCACGCTAACAGGCCAATCTTACACCCCTGTGGTGCTCAGAGCCTTGCTGCTTGTTTACCACGGGGTGCCTGAGGCTGAGCTGCCCGAATCACACCAGGTCTACGCTCGGGGCTGAGCTCTGCATTTCACTTTCTTCCAAAGGGGCCGAGCAGTGAATTCAGTGAATCACTACTTCAAGCACTCAGGGCTCTGAGGGGCTCAGCTTTGCTTGCACGCCACCGAGAGTCAACATGTAAAACCAACTCGACACCAGGGCGAGAGGAAGGGAACGATCCTTGAGACCGGAGCGCGATGTTTGCTCTTCCACATCGGATATCTGCAAACCCCTCTCACCCCAGGAAGCCCGACTGGGTCAAGTGGGCGCGGGGCACCGCAGCCCCCCGGCTCCCCCCCCTTTAGGACCGCGCTCTCCCGGCACCGGAGGTTCTGTAGCACCGCTCCGGTCCCGGTTGTACCGGCGGGACGGAACCGGAGTCGGTACCGCTGCCGAAATAACAACGGAGAAAAGCAGGACCAGCTCTTACCAGCTTGCCGGAACGCTCCCGTGCTTTCTTCACCTTCCCATACGTTCCCTTCCCCAGCGTTTCCAAGAACTCGTAACGATGCTTGAGGTTGTGTTTGTGGTGATGCCGTTTCACCGCCTGCTTCTTCATCAGCGGTCGGGGCGATTTAATGAACCCCTCGACCAGCGAGGTGCCCCCGGGCCCCACCGCCGCCCGCTCCATGCCGCGATTCTTCCCGGCTCCGCCGCCCGCTCCGCTCCTAAATGCGGCTTCCCCGACGGCCGCGCCTCCCTTCGCCCATTGGCCGCCTTGCAGCCCGCCCCGCCCGGCTGTCGGTGCGGGGATGGGGGGGGGCACGGGGCTGGGCAGGTGCAGGGAGACCCCCGGAACCTCTGGGATGAAGGGGGGATGGGTGGTGGGGGGGTGGAGACGGGTGCGGCAGCGGGGCAGAGGTGTAAAGGAAACAGTTGGGTGGGATGAGAAGTGGGGTCCCGCTTAGCAGGGATGAGCTGAAGGGGATGTGGGGTGATGGTTGTACCCAAAAGGAGAGGTGGGGGGGGTCAGGGTGGGGGGGAGGGTGCGCAGCAAAACGCCCGGGTGCGAGAGGAGGAGAAATGCATGGCTACGGGGGAGGGATGCACGGACAGCCACAGCCACACACAGAACAACGACAGATCTGGCTTTCTTTCAGAGTATAAACCAGCCTACAACCGCGTATTGAGGGCAAAATGAAAGAGAGGAGAGGCCAGGGAGGCAAAACCACGGACCGGTGCTCAGCCCTGCGTGCAGTGAGGGATCCGTGGGGGGAACGGAATGTCTGCATGCTGACCCAATAGAAATTCATTGTCCGGACGTTTCTGGTTAACTCGGCAGCACCTCCCCGTGTGGTCTTTTTCTTTTTGCCCCTGTGGTAATTCTTTGTTTTGAGATATTAAAAGAATGCGACGATCTCTCAGAGAAGCCCAAACAAAAGCTCTTGCCCAGTTCTGGCATGTGTGAGGACACACCGTATCGATGGAAGAAAGAGATAACTGCGGCATTACTCATCAGACCTGGGTTTTCCCATCGCTTCCAGCAGCTCGGGGCAGACGGGGTGAGGCAAAAGCGGGGGCTCATGTGAAGGATGAGAGCGCAGCCCCGGCCCCTCGCTGCAGGCTTTGTGTCCCTGAGCACAGAGATATCGGCTGTGCCGTCCCGTGTCTGGATGAGAAGCAAAGCTGAGCTCCTGGACTCGCAGGCTGGGTACCAGAGTGCTGGGTTAGAAAGGTGCTGCTGAATGCATCCATAGCACAGCCCTAGAAACGGGTGCTGAAGTCGAGACGTGTGACGCAGCCATGCACACACCCCTGCAGCCCCAGGACTCAAAGGATCTTGCACCCTTGCTTTGTATCACCAGCGGCTGTATGGAACCTCACCAGGCAATGGAGCAAAGGGCTTTTTTGCAGATTCCCACACTTCCTCTCCACCCCAAAGCTGAGCAAACCTCGATCCCAGGTTTAACATCAGCCATCTCTCACCTGTGCTGGGCTGGGTTGGGTGCCCTGATGGCATCCTGCACCAAAGCAGAGTGGCACCAATGAATTATTCACAGTAACAGGAGCTGCATTTCGATCTGCGGGCGGCCAGCGGAGCCCATAGGGGAGACAAACAAAGCGCAGATGAGATTAACTAAACTGCTGTAATTTCGATGTCAAAGTAAACAGATCGGATCCTGTTCAGGCACAGCCCAGGGATTGCCTTCGAGTGGAAGGGGAAGAAGCAAAGCTCCCTGTTGCAATAGAGCACAAAATGTCTCTGGTGGAGGTGAAAGCTCCTGCACAGCTGTAGGATCGCTCAGGGTTTGCCCAGCGGCCCAGGAAGCACTCGAGCACGATTTAGCCTTAAGCACACGTTTAATGTCCTCTTGATTTACAAGGATGCCTTCCAGAGGCTTTCCCCGGGATGAAAGGAAATGACTCGGGGTTGCTTCTCTTTCTGTTTCTAGCAGATAAATTCCTCTCCGCCGTTCTCCTCGCTGACACTCAGCCGAGGTATGCTTTTGTTCCAGGCTCCCTCAGGAAGCCCTTTTTAATGGAAATGTCAAGGGACACAGATCTAAGTCGGCTGGAATCCGCCGATAAGGATCCCTTATTGTGGCTTTCTGTATCACCGCTGCTTCCTCAGCGGAGGGGAAACCCACGGAAAATCCCCAACCCCATCCACAGCCGTCCCAGCTCTGCTCCCTTTGCAGCAGCACGGAGCGCTGCGTGTCTGCTAACACCGACATGAAAGTCAGGCAGGAATTTGGCTCTGTGTCAGGTAAACCTCAAAGGCAGTCGGATCGACCCGATGCTTCGTAAGGATGAGAGCTTGGTTCTCTTCCAGCCTGCTAGGCTTTGTTATTATTACCGTTGTTGTTAGCGTTTGGATTATTATTTCTTCGTTCTAAATTGATGTTACAGCACTGCCTGTGTGTTAGAAACATCCTTGCTGTGGTCGGAATATGAAGACCCACGTACAGCAGTCAGCACTCCGATAGGGAAAGGTGCCCTGCCAGGCGTCACAGAGCCAGGGGCAACAAAAAGGCCAACGACCGCCTCTCATTAGTGGCCTCCCGCTGTGGGGCTGCTCGGGTAGATGCGGAACCCATCCCTCCTCCAAAAACACCGAAGAAAGGGGTTTTGCTCTGATCTTCCCCGCTGGGCGCCCCATCCATCAGCAGAAGAAGGGAAACGCATTAAGCAGCAAACGGGAGCCTTTGGAAAAGGAATTGATGACCCATCGAATGCCACCATTGCAGCACAAGGGCCACCTCTGCACCTGCACCCACCGCAGCTGCCTGGTTTATCACCCCCCATCCCCTGCTCAGGCCATCCAACCATCCATCCTGTTGACTCTCTGTGTCAGCTTTGTGCCCAGGATGGGTGGCTGGAGGATCGTTCTGCACAGCACCATTGGTCCCATGCTGAGCAGTTCGAGCTCCTGCTGTGTGTAGCCAGATTTGCTGCAGACAGGGATGGATCATGGAAAGCACAAATCCCACCCCAGCCAGCCAGACTGAGCAAAGAAAAATGCATTGCTCTGAGCAGCTTTGTGTATAGAAGTTTAAGAAGTGAAGAACATCCAGAAGAGAAATAAAAGTAGGGGCAAGGGCTGAGCTACCAGCAATGGGCCGCCCATAGGGCTGCAGAAATGCTGAGCTGTTTCTAACAAAAATAAGCAAACTCCCCTCCAAAAAAGCTGGAAGCCTTTGTATCTCATGGTTGTGACTCAACGTCCACTGCATGTGGGCACAATGGGAGGCTGTGTCTGCTGGTGGCTGGGCAGGGATGTCACTGGGGTTGGGGAGCTGATGGGGGCACAATGGTGACAATGACAGATGGACCCCAGTGCCCAGTGGAGGAGCTCCACCCCAGCTTTCTCAGTGGATGTCCATCCCTGGAGGCATTCAAGGCCAGGCTGGATGTGGCTCTGGGCAGCCTGGTCTGGTGGTTGGCGACCCTGCACACAGCAGGGGGGTTGAAATGAGATTTTCATTGTGGTCCTTTTCGGGTCATTCTGTGATTCTATGATTCTAGGAAGTAGTGTGACAGCATTCACACACAACTCCACGCTGGGTCCCCATTTGGGGAGGGTTGGTCGATGAGCAAAGGGAGCGCTGGCCCCAGGGATGGCCTCCCTGTGAGCAGGAGCAGAGCAGCACACTGCTGTGCACGCTTTGGGTCTGACACGAGACACAGGAGCTCTGCAGGCAGATCTCTGCTCTGCAGCCAGACATAAGAGAGTTTGCTTTCAAGAAGTTTCCTGTCTGTGCAGACAAAGCCTGCTTGAGGACAACAGCGGCGACGTTCGTTGGCAACAACACCAGCACAGCAATCAGCAGCAGCACCACTCAGTGCTGGATCAGCCCTCCTTTCAGCAAGCACAACTTGGGGAACTGGGAGTTCAGATGGGGACACGGCAGCAGTCGGCTGCACGATTTGCTGAGTGCCATTCAGAGCTGGAAAACCGCAGTGGCTCGGCTGACAACGGCTCTGCAAGGCAGATCAAATTATCTGTGTATCTCAGAAAGGAAGCCGGGTCGTAACCCACTTATTCCTAAAACATTTCCCTTTGCAGCACCATTTGCAACAGCCACAGCAACCTCCAGGCCAGCTTCAGCAAATGTGCTTTGTCATCAGCAGGTCTTCTGTGCCAAAGCCTAAGCGTGCCCGCTACTGAATTGGCATCTTAATTGCTTGTCAGTGTCAGACTGACAGCAGCAGCCCTCCCGATGTGAGATGAGGTGAGATGCATTGAATTCCTGCCCCTGAACAATGATCGCTGATTGCAATTTGCTTTCAGCCACTTTGGGAAGCCCTGCCCAGCATACCAGGAGTGCTGCTCAGGGAGGAACGAGCAGCCAGGGTTGTGTGCTGTCACCTGGTGCATGTCTGCTGCTCGTGGAGCTGTGCAGTGCATGGATTGGAGCATCCCTGCTCGTTCAAGCAGCAGCAGCAGCCTGCTGGGTGTTGTAGCTGTGTGCAGTGCTGTCAGAACGCAGCACAAACCCGCTTGGGACACTTCTGCTAGGCTGCCCTGCAGAACTGAGGGCTCATCCTGCTGTACCTGTTCCTCACAATCCAAAGCCCCTGGTTGGGTCACGGGGATCCATGCTGGGGTTTTGCTCTGTCCCTCCAGCCACAATGGGGTCTGTCTGTGCCAGAGGTGGAATAACCAGCATCACCCACAGGAAACACGCAGCGTGCATCTGGGGAAAGAAAATTTGCAGCTATCCAAGCCAGAATGATCCATGGCACAGCTCGGCAGTGTGAGTAGGATTCAACCACACACACCACATGCAGCAGCAATAAGATCTGCTCAGAGGAGCAGAATTCAGCCCTGCCACAGCAGCTGTGAGGCGTTGGGACCCAGAGGCAATGCCTGCTCAGGGGAGCACTGGGGGAGATGCATAACGTCCTTTTCACATCGAGTTATTTGCAAGATCCTTTGGCGTTTTTTTTTTTTTTTTTCTTTTCACGTGGAGTTGCTTGCAAACTCCCTTGGATCTGCTGGATGCCTTTAGCAGAGCCCTGGCAGCCCATTGGAGCCCCTTCCAGCAGCAGGGCAGGGTCACACAGCAGCAGGTGCTGCTGGCTCAGCCCATGGATGCCATCTGCCGTTCGTGAAGCACCCAGAGGGGGAGGCGAACAGGAGAAGCGCTGCTCAACCAGAACACCCACAGCAATGCCTTAAACACAGACCAACCCCACGCACGGAGAGTGCACCTGAATCACCTCCCTGCTCCCCAACCCTGGCCCACCGTCACCTCCGAGGCAGGCACAGCCCCCTTGTTTTATCACCTCCTGCAGCCTCCTGTTTCCCGCAGCAGCAGGAGCAAAGCAGAGCTGCAGGATGCAAAGTGCAGCTGTGGAAACCATCCGAGGAGAGATGGAATCCTCCCACTCGTGTGTCTGGCAGCGTGTCGGAAGCAGGGAGTGCCAGCACTGAGCTGCTGAGGGGTGGAGAAACCCACAGGATTTCCCCTGCTCCTGTAAGGGAATCACAGCCCACGGAATGGATGTGGGATTTCCCATAGCTGAGAGCAGCCAGGGAGGGGACAGTGCTCTCGGAGGAGGCTGCAGATGCTGTGCTTTGGATGCTGAGAGCTGTGATGCTGCACTGGGGCAGAGCTTGGCATACGGATAACTCACCCTATCTCTCACCACTAAGTAACCACAGATGTGTCCCTTCCCACTCCTCGGTTACCTCTCTGAGTTAACAAAGCCATTTATGACCCAACGATAAACAGCCAACAATGTTTTTTAACGGGGAAATCACAGCTCCATCAGACACAGAGGTCTCCAAGCGAACGTCAGCTGGGAGCACAGCACAGTGGAGGTGACTGGAAGGGTCTGAAGGCTCTGCAGCTCCTTCCTGAACACAGCCATGGGGAAAGCACTCCCACGGCGAGCGCTGAGCCCCACAGGGCGACTGCTGCTGGCTGCAGACAGTGGGATTGGCTCCGTTAATGAGAGCTGGGTTTCGCTACAAAGCGGCTGACCCAGACCTGCTCCTTGCTGTGCTGCTGCTTCAGGAGCTCCTCTTTCTCTCCCTCTCTACATGCTCGGCACATCTCCAGCTTTGATTACAGACCGTCTCCATCCTCCCCCCCTACCCCCCCCCGCCTCGTCCCCGCTCACTGACATCTCTTCATTAAGTCCTACGACGGGTTTATTCCCATGGCGCTGCTTTGTCTGCCTCGCTCTGCAGCGTTTCTGGAAGGAGAAAGCCAAGGAGCAGCCCCCAGCTGTGCTGCAGGCAGACAAAGGCAGCGGGTCCCTCCTCCCCTTGCTCCAGCTGAACAAAGGCAACGCGGAGCCCAGGGCCGGATACCTCTGCAATAACCTGGGGATGGGAAAAAGGGGAGCAAACGGGGCCGTGCAGTGTGTGGGAAAGGTTCCTTAAGGGCAAAGGAAAACACTTCGTTAACGGTTGGAGGCTCTCAGCTGTGCAGAGGCGGCTGAAACAGAGCTCTGCTGTGCCACGAGATGCGGGGTTTGTGCTGGAAAGAGAGTTTGCTCCCTCCCATCCTCTGCTTCTCAAAGGGATGCGCAACCCTGGGGTCAGCATGCTGCGTGCATGCAGAGTGAACAGCATCCCAGCTCCCAGCCCCAAATCCCCCCAGACAGAGCAACGTTTTGGTTGCAAAGCTCCCTCCTGCTGTTTGCACAACCTCCCGAAACGCAGCGCCTAAACAAACAGAGCACAGATGGGAACACGACAGGGGATGGGGCAGAAGCTGTTTGCTCCTCTTGCGCCTCGCCAGAGACAAGCAGGCGGGATGTAAATCATTAGCGAGCGGGTTGTTCGCCGCCGAGTCGCTGCTTTTTCCCCTTTCATCTCCACTTTGAGATCACAAAGAGATTTTCGGATCTGTCAGAGCTGCGCTTCGGGAGCTCCTCTCGCTCTCTGCCGTCCAGCAAAGCCCGCAGTCGGGTCCGCTCCAACCAGGGCTGGAGGTACCGGCGGACCCCGGCCCGGTGGGAGAGAATGGAACCACGGGGGTGGGGGGGGGGGGGGTCGGGGCTCACTGGAGCCCCAGTGAGCGCTGCGATGGCGGCTTTGGCCGCACGGTGTCCCCCGCGCTCCGCCGTCCCTGAAACGCGGCTGGGATGGGCTGCAAGGAAAAAGGGTCGCATCCCTGCTGGGACACTGTGCTGAGCTCCTGCACAGCGGCCTGAGCTGCCCCCCTTTTTGCCCCTTTTTTCAGCCTCGGTCCTGCCAGTTCCTACAGTCATAGCCCATAGCACAGACCGGGTTTTCTGGGTGCAGCTTTTAATGATGCTTCAAAGCTTGGAGTGTCAGCCGGTAGCTCGAACCCTCCCATATGAAGGAATGAAACCAAACAGAAGCCATGGATGTTGCTCCCTGGCCTCCCTATAGATCAAAGCTATGGGAAAACCTTTGCCCAGTACTCTGGAGGCAGGGCTCCTTTTTGTTCCTTTCTCCCAGGACTGAACAGAAGATCCCAAATAATTGTAGGAACTAAAATCTAAGCGGAGGCCATCTCTGCGTGAAACCCTGCAAAGGCATTTTTGTGCTACACCTGTGCCAAAAGTAACACCCAGCCTCTCACCAAAGCAGTCCTTTGGGCATTCATCCCCCCCTCCCCTCCCAGGAGCACGGGCAGCTCCTTGCTCCAGCTCCTGGCAAAGTGACAGTCACAGCTATGGGCCTGCAGGAAAAGCCTTGCTACAAAGGCAAAAGAACAATCTCCTGCACCTGGATGCAGATTTGGAGTTTCCCTTCCTGCACACCAAAGAGAAAACACGGATCTCAGAGCACCCAAAGAGGGCATCGCTTCTGCTCTTCCCACTCCGACTCTCACCTGGCTGATCCCTCCAAACCTGTGCTGGGTTCTGGGGGCAGCAGGGAGATGCTCACCCTCATCTCACCCTGCAGAGCCCTTCCTGCTGGCAGGACACACAGCGCAAACACTGCAAACAGTCCCTTCCTCTGGGTTTCCCCCCCAGCAGCTCTGTAGGAGACCAGAGGGGACCACAGGGCCCCTGCTAGGAATCAGAAAGGCAGAGGGCTTCCACCGCGCTGCTCAACCCCTGGCTCACCCCACCGACTGCTAGCAGCAGGCAGCCCCTGAGCACGATGCTGGAGCAGGCACAGCGTGGGGTGGGCATGGGGGGCAAGCTCTCCCATTTGTTCTTCTCAGGGTGGAAAGCTTCTGCAGACTCCAGGACGGTCGGCTGGTTTCCTGGAGACACAAAGTGAGGCAGCAGGTCACCAGCAAGCACCTCTTTACCCTGTCTGCACCCCAAAGCCCCTCCCCCCTTATGGGTTCTTTTCACTGTTCCCTCAGGCCAGGTCTCCCCGTTCTGTAATGACTCTTCTTTGCTTTTAAAGTGTCACCTCCATCCCCAGGGCCTCACCCAGTCCCCCAGCCACGACGACTCTGCTTTTCAGGTAGCCAGCCACAAAGTCTGCTCGCCGTTTCTTCAGGTAGAAGGAGCGCTCCATCTTCATCCAGCCACCTGCCAGGGGCAGCACAGACAGCATCACAGCAGCACTCAGCACCACAGAATCATTCAGGTCAGGAAGAACCTCTAAGATCATCAAGTTCAACAGCCCACCCTCACCGTGCCCACTGAATACATCCCTCAGTGCCACATCTCCATGGTTCCTAAACACTCCCAGGGATGATGACCCCACCACCCATCTGCCTCTCTGGCCTCCTGCCCCTGGGAACCACACATCCTTGGGGCAATAAAACCCACAGTGCAGGGGGGGTCTGCTTCCTTACCACCTTATCAAACCCAGCAGCTGCAGAACCCCTCTGGACCACATTTTTCCCCCTCCTGCCTCCTCTTATTAATCCCCAGCACCCACAAAAACCAGCAGGTGAGAGCTGAAACCCCCACCCACTCACCCCAATAGCACATGGGCACATCCCCACATGCACCCACCCTCACCCACGGACCAGCACAGAGCTGTGACATCCTACCTTGCTCAAAGTCAAACACATCCACAGTCCTCATGAACTTGGGCTGCCTGTAGAGCCGGCCCTGCCGCAGGCCCCCAAGGCTGAACAGTTTGTCTTCGGTGGGCACGAAGCTGGAGAAAGCTCTTTTATTGGGGATATTGGGAAACTTGGTCCACGATCTGGTCTCCGTGTCAAAGACCTCGAAGGCGTTGATGGCGTACTTGGATTGCCTTCCCCCTGGGTGAAGGGATGGGAAGAAAAGGATCAACAGCAGCCAAAGGTCAAATTGCAGCAGCAGAGGATGCTCCTGGGGTTGGATGAGAGCAAACTGCCACCGGTGGCATCCTGTGCTCCCTCTTTTGTAATTGCAGCTGCACGAGATCGAAGCACCCCATTTCTCAGTGCGTCACGTCTTCCTCTTCCCTCCAAGCCAGCAGTAGATGCAGGAAGGTGTTTGGTATGCATTGGTTTAATCAAGACAAACTCACGACAGAGAAGGGATCAGCACTGGGGGATGTTTGCAATTCAGATGAGCTCAGCGCCGGCACAAAGCAGTGATCCCAACAGAACAGCAGAGTCAGAGCAGCTGCTGCCACAACCCACAGACATGCCTTATTGTCCCCCCATCAGATGCAAGGGGACGCAGCTGCTCTCAGCCTGGGTGCTCCGTGTGCCTTTGAAGCAGAGCCTTGGCTTGCTACCGGGCCCACAAAGCATTTGCTGGCAGCAAACAAACTACAGAATAGATCAAAAGAGCCTTTTCTGGTGGCACCCTCCAGACAGGCAGCGCTGCACGGTGGTTTGAGCTGCTGGGACTGCTGGGTTTGATCACAGCTTTGCTGCTGGTACAGCTCATTTGGCTGTGAGCCTCCAGCAGCATTTCCCTGCCTTAGTTTCCCTTTCTGTAGGATGAGTGAAAACCCTTCCCTGTAAAAGGGTTGGCCCAGCACTTCCCAGCAACAGCAAGTCTTTCCTTCTGGCCCTTCATGAAGGCGAGCAGCGCTTTGATGGCATAACATGGACAGAAGCACTGTTATTCAACAGCTGAGTGCAAGGGCTTTTGTTGGGGGGCTCAGGGCTGCACACTGAGCAGCAAACAAATGAGGGGAACCATTCACCAGCAGCACTGAGCTGCTGCAGGATCTGCATGGGCACAAGGGCTCCTGCAGTTACTGAGGAGGTGTGAATGCAAACCCTACGCCCAAGCCTGGCATGTATGAGTGCACGAGAAGCAGATGAGGATGGAAAGCATTTCCCCAAGCAGACTCAGTGCCCAAGGAGGTGAAGGCAGATGCTTACCCAGCACGTAGATCTTGGTGCCCCTCAGGAAGGAGGTGGCAGCATACCGTGCTGTGGGCATGGCTGCCAGGGACACCCAGATGTCCTTCAGCATGTCGTAGTGCTGCAGGTAGTTGTGTGGTCGTAGGTCAGCTCCCATCCCACCAGCTGCATACACTCTGTAGTCTGGGCAGGGCCAAGGGGTGAGAAACCACAGTATTAAATATGGGAAAGCACACCTGAGGGATCTGGGGAGCTATTTCTGTTCCTGGTCTCTTGCGCTGAATTGATCTGCCATAACCAAGCACAGAGGGAAAACCAGCTCTGAGATGGTGAACAATCTTTGTAAACATTCCTCCATGGCAGCTTTTAGAGCTACATAAGCAAATAAATGGAGCAGCTTTCAGAGGAGCTGCCTGTGGATCTGCACTGATCCCCAGCGTGTGTGCATTGCTCCTGGCCCCAGGTATGCAGTGCCAGCTCCCAGCTGCTCAAAGCGGGGCAGAACATGTGAAAGTAAATCAAAGCTCCACCTCTGTGCCTGGAGATTAGAAAATGAGATGGGCAGATGAAGGCAGAGCCCTGCAGGCATTTAACAGAACGTGGGTATGGCTGTGGTTAAGCTCATGGAAGGGAGTGAGGCAGGAGCCCCCCATGAGCCAGGTGCTTCCCTTCCCTGCGCACTGATCTGGGCTCACAGTTACGAAGCCAGCTCTTGTGTTGGGTGCTGGGTTTGGAACAGAGACTCTTCTCTGATGAAGGCTGAAGGCTGCTCTGCGGACTGGGGTCATGCACCTCTCCCCCTTCACTGTGCAGCCAGAGGCTCTGCCCGTTTCTTCTTCATGGTGGGACCTGAACTGGCTGCAGATTTGGGGAAGCCCAGCTTCAACCCTGCAGGTTGGAGCTGCCAGAAACACGGCCAAGCTTCAGCCCTTGCAGCTCTTGGGCAGAGCGCACTGCTGCCTGCATCTGCTTTTGGCAGCCAAGAATGGTCCAATGGTGAAATATGACAACCACGTGAGGCTCGGCCTCCGTAAGCAAAGAAGAAGAGGTTGAGGAGCAATCCAACCCTACAGCACTGCCCAGAAAGCATTTATGCCCCACGCACGGGGGGGACACCAACCCTCCCGCACCCTGCTTACCTTTTGCCGTCACCGAGATGCCCATGGCCGCCTCCCTCAGCGAATTCCTCTTCTTCCACTTGCCTTCATCCACGTTGTACATCTCCACGATCTTCAGAGGCGCTTGGTTGGCCCCCACACCCCCGATCACCATGATCCTTTTGCCCAACGTGGCCACAGCCACCCCGGCCCTGGCAGTGGGCATGGGGGGCAGCGACGTCCATTGGTCAGCCTCGGGGGAATAGACCTCAAAGCAATCCATGGGGACACCGTTGTCATCGCAGCCCCCGATGGCAAACACCTGCCCACCCACTTCCACCAGCGTGGAATAGACCCGGCGGCTGGGCAGCGGGGCGAGGGTCTTCCATTGGAAATCCCTGGTGTTGGCCACCTCCATGGTGTCAGCACCCACCTGCTGCTGATGGGGCACCTAGGCTGTAAAACACAGCGGGGAGGTGCAGGAGGAATGCAGAGTGCAGCAGTCAGAGCAGAACAAGCCCTAAATCCATCGCAGCCACCTGCCCACCCCCCCGATGCCAGCAGTACCTCTGCCTGCAGCTCTGCTCATCCTGCAGATCCACGTCTGCCTCAGCAGCTCATGCAGAGCTGAGCCTAAAAATAAAGCAAAACAAAAGGGGGAAAAAAAGCAATAAAAATAAAACAAACCCAGGCAGGAGAGCTTGGAGTCACTTTGCTTCCTGAGCATCCCCACCCCCAAGCGACATTCAGAGCAAGGAGGCTGCAAGCTGTCTGCTCCCTGCCCTGCAGCATCTCTGCCTGCTGGGGAACTTTTCCTTGCTCTGAGCTTTCCTTCCTCTGAGCCCATTTCTCCTCCTGACCCTTGTGACGCTGGGACACAGTGATGAGCCATGCCAGGCTCCAGCCAGCAGCCCTGAGGACAGGCTCCAGCTCTGGCTGCAAACCCTCTTTCCTTCCTCTCCCCTCCCAGACCGGCCATTAAGCAATGCAGACGAGATTAATTAGTACAGGAAGACAGAAAGAGGGCAAACAGGAGGAGGGAAGGCAGCTGCTCATCCACAGTGCAGGGTGGTGCTTTTTGCACTGAGCATCTCCACCTGCATGCCCCAGATTGGGGTAACAACGTCCATTAGAACAAAGCAAGGTTTGTCTCTGCCCTTGCAGGCTGCTGCCTCGCACACCTGCATTGGGATGGGGCTGTCCCCACTTGTCCCCATTTGCAGCCCCTTTCTCAGTTATCCCATCACCCCACTGCCTGCCCTGGGGGGACCAACTGAAGGTGACTTCCACGCTCCTTCAGCTCCTGCTTTTCATCTGAAAGCGTGACTCAAAGGACAGCGATGAAAAGCATCAGCAAAGCGCACGTGGACAGAGATCCATCCAAATCACATCACTTTCAAGCACAAAACCCAACGGATTTAACAGGGTCGAAGGAGCACAAAGCAGCAGCAGCGCTGCATCCCATCCAGCAGCCAAAGGGAAAGGGGCAAAAAAAACAGATGAGGTCGACAGCTGCCATCCTCCCCTCTGTTCTGCAGCACCTCATGCTCTGATGTGCATCAGCAGAGCAGCACAGGGGAGGGGGAAGGGGGGAGGTTTAAGCAGCTCTGGGCTACAGCTGTGGTGAATGATTAATTTTCTCTCCAGGTAAACTGTGGTGCATTGCCACGGATAAATCCAGCGTGGCCGAGTGCATTAGAAAAGCAGAGCCTGCTCCTATCTGCAGGCACACGATGGGTTTGCAGGCTGACCTCTGCTAAGTCTGTGCCGTGATAAAGCACAGCCCTGGGATGAAGCACAACGTCACCGCTGTGCCAGACAGCTTCTGTGCTGCCATTCATTACACAGAGCTGCACCTCGAGGATGATGCTCTGTTTTTTAGCAAAGCGTTGCCTCAAAAATCTCTTTTTTCAGCACACAAACATGTGAGCGTTGCTCAAAGCAGTGGGGGTGCATGGGGGGATTGCTGAGCAAAGAACAGCAGAGTGAGAGCTGCAAACTCAGCCCAGCTGCTCAGCAGAGCTCTGCCTCAATTCGGCTGCCTTGGCAGAGGGAGAGTTCAAGAATTCGCTGTTTTTCCCTTTCATGCTCTTAAAAGCAGATCGAGGTCAGGTCTGAAGCTCTCCATTATGCACGTAGGCTTTGTCTGGGGCTCTCCAGCATCACCTGGAAAGCATCGCTGTGCTGTAGGAGCTGCCAAACATGCTGACCCAATGCCCCACTGCACTGCAGCCACGTTCTGCTCCAGGCAGAGGGAATTATCACTTAATTAGACCAAAGCATCAGAAGCATTAACATTTTTTTCCCCTAAATGGCTGCGTTAGGATCACAATGAATGGTAATTGCTTTCCTATCGGAGGAGATGGCAAGCAGTGAGCTGAGCCCACACCAGTTCTGGTGACATTTATTGCCTACAACAATTTGTGATTTATAGGAGAGGCTGTGCTGAATGCACTGAGGCTCTGAGCTGCCCAAATAGGGCAGGCTTTGTCCCCAAATCCAGTGCTGCCATCTGGGGCTGCCTGTGCTCCCTTGCCCACATCCCCTCCCTGGGATTTAGATGCTTTTATGCTCCAGGTTTGATATTCCTCAGTGGAATGGGTGGGAGGGAGCACAGAGTGTGAGCCCATCCTGCACAATGCTGGACAACTCTGCTCTGAAGCCCCGGAAGCATCGCATTGCTGCAGCTCATCCCCCCCCTTTTGGAGACCCCACAAAGGTGCAGGTGACCACACACATCCCCTTAGCAGCTCTCACAGCAGCATCAGGGCTGCACCCTCATCTCCACCACCCCAAAATGGGTCACCATCACAAACGGTGATGGGTCAGACCCAGGGTTCCTGCATCCCCGCTTCCACCACGTGCTCCTTGCTGTCAGTGGGGTTAAAACAAAGCTGCCACAGAGAAACATTGCTCCCTACCGAGAAAAAGAGCTTGTACTCACCTCAGTGCCATGCAAGATTCACCCTCGGCTGTCCTACAGCTTGGGAAAAGTGGCTGCAAACAGAGCAGAGCACAGCGTGCTGCCAAGCAGGGTTTGTTCCCAGCACAAGGGGATGGGCATCACAGGAACGGGGGCAACAGGAGCTGGAAATAGCACAAACCCTGGGAAGGAATCACAGCTCCACGCAGGAGTCAGCAGCTCCAGCTCGGATCTGTCGGCACTGTGAAAGAAGGAGCAGGGAGAGATGACACAGCACAGCAGTGAGGATGGGGCTCGGCGTGGGGAAACCGCGGCGTCCCAGGGAACGGCTCTGCTGTGAGGATATGGAGGAGATCCCACGGAGCATCCCCACCTGCAAGGATGGGGGCTTTGGTCAAGATGGGGAAAAAGAGGCAAAAAAAAAATGAGAGAAATAGGAGGGGAAAGGCAGCGATCGTTTCCTTGGGGCTGTATTTCCTTGGATCCCAAAGAAAGATGGTGGGTGAAAAGTTTCTGGTGCAGAGCAGCGCCCACCCCCCAGTGTAATTGAGGGGAGCTGCTTTTCCTCCTGGCAGCACAGGCACATCACAGATAAACATCAGCAGAGTGAGGAGAGGCCCTATAGGGCCAGGCGTTAGCAAATGACTGCAAAATTTCACACAAGCCCCTCAGGAAACCCCACGACCCCCCTGCTGCTGCCTTTGCTTCTCCCCACTCGGGTTCCAGCAGCTGGGATTTCAAACTGAACGTGCACGAAATGCTCAGTCTGCTATTTCTGACCTCTCCTCACACCAAATTGAGTTTCCTTTCCATAGTAACGGCCACCAGGAAAAATAACAGCAACCAGAGCCAGCAGCTCCTTGCTTTCCACTGCAAATAACCCCAAGGCTTTCAAGGAGATTTCTAGCTGCGATGCTTTTGCAAAGGGAACAAATGGCACCTTGGAGCAAAGAAAAAGCAGCAGCGCTCACATGGAGCTCATTTGGAGCCTCTCCCTGCAGACAGACAGATGGACAGAGGAAAGTGCCACTCAAATTGAGCTCCCTGGCTTCCCAACAGAAAAGACCCCTGAGGTCCTTTGCAGCCACGCACGGTTTGCTGGTGGGGGGGAGGCAGAGAGCTCACACTCGGCTCACAGCCCTGCGATGGGGATGGATGCCAGCAGTTTCAACACTGCGACGGGACAGGGAGACACAGCAATTTTTGGTCACTGATTAGCATGGGGAAAGAGAGCAGAGCATCTTTTATTTCCTGGGTGAACAGAGCAAGGTAAGGTTTATTCCCGTTGCATTTTGTCTTCAGAGAGTTGCAATTGCAGCAGGAAAATAATATCACCCCAGCAGGGCCCTGCTGTGTCCTGCATCCCTCCCCCTTTCCCCCTGATGCTGATGCTGCTCTCTTTGCATGGGTCAAATCTTCTTTAAGCCCCACGGACCCTCTGCTTAATTGATAAATCTCTGTTGGTCTGTATTCAGACTGCATCCCTTCAGAGGGAACAGGGAGAGAGAACTGTGGGGCACCCAGTGCTGTTCCCAAGGCCTGGATGGGGAGGGGGGAGGAGCAGAAAAGAATCCTTTTGGGGACAAATGGAACAACAAAACATAGGGAAAAATGAGGGGGGAAACCAACCAACCAACCTCGTCGTGCCACTTTTAAAGCAGAAAACGCAACCCCAGAGCTTCGTTCTGGCTGCACAACAGCAGCACGGCGCTGCAACCCCCAGCAAACCCCCCCCCCTCTCCTCCCCCAACCTGAACGCTGTGCTTACAGCTGGGCCGGCTCCTCGCACGATGCTCTCCTACGAACGCTCTTCAACTTCAGCCCAGCGAAACCCCGAGCGCCGGCATCTCCAGCTTGAGAGCATCCGTCCCTCGGGTGGGGGTCGGGGGGGGCTGCGAGAAAACGAGTAGGAATCCTTGGGCTTTAATCGCCCGCTTGCAGGAGGCGTGGGATGAACGGAACCGGAGCTCTCCCATCTGCTGCGGCCGTCGGGATCCTCCTCGGTGCCGCCGCCGGGGCTGTGCGTGCGGGTGTGTACAGGGCGGATTAGCAGAGCCATGCTTTAAGCCTTTTATGGCTCCTAAAGCTCGCACAGGATGTTCTGTCACAGCGGCCCTCCCCTTCCACGGCTGCAAAAGGAAAAGTGATCGAGGAGGGAGAGATGGAGCGGGGATGGAAGCTGAGCTGGGGACGGCTGATCTGTGGGCATCGATCAGCTCCGTGGGCAGAGAAAACGGGAAGGATGGAGGGGCTGCAGTGGGATGCAGGGGCTGCAGTGGGATGTAGGGGCAGCAGTGGGATGTAGGGCAGCAGTGGGATGTAGGGGCAGCAGTGGGATGTAGGGACTGCAGTGGGATGTAGGGCAGCAGTGGGATGTAGGGACAGCATTTGGATGTAGGGCAGCAGTGGGATGTAGGGGCAGCAGTGGGATGTAGGGAACTTTGGGCCCCAAACTTCTCAGAGCCAACGTTCCCCATTCTGATGGTCCATGAAAGGCTTTTGCAGCCCTGATTTTCTTCTCTATTCTTCACCAGAAGCTGATGCAGAATAATAACTCCGACTCCAGGAAAGAAAACCAACAAACAAACAAACAAAACAAACCCAAAACCACAAAACAAAACATTTCTGAGCCAAATCAGCAGGAGAAAGATCCTTTCAATGTAAGTCCCATCAAGTTTGGACCCATGCCCTGCAGAGCTGGAAGAGCCTCAGCTCTCATCCTGGAGCAGCAGTGATCTGACATAGGGGGGTTTTACCATCCCTACAGGTGACCTCATGATGTTTGGGGCTCAGCTCTGCTTGGAAAACCCCCTAATTCTGACCCCAAGCTCAGCTGATGGCCATCCAGCCCAGGTTTGCCTCCACTGTTGTCTCATGCTGCTCCAGATAGGAAACTACATTAAAGCAGCTCCAGCTGTAAAACAAGAAAAATTAGGAAATCCACAAGAAGTTGACTCAAATGACTACATAAAAGCAAGCTCTCATCTCCTACCAGCTATTTTAATCTGCTGTTAGCTTTCCAGTGGGAGGATTCAATTTACATTTAAATAAAAATCTTAAGCACGGGGCCTATCTACCATTACAACATTCATTACAGAGGCATTTACCTCCCAAGAAATTTTAAGAGATCTCATGGAAGTGTGTTTTAATGAGTGAGGGGGGGGACTATTAGCAGCCTGCTATTATTGGCTGCTTGTATTCATGGGCTGCTGTTGTCAGTCAGCAGCTTGCTTGCAGGTCAGCCCAGCAGCTGCGGGAAGGGTTGCAGTGAGTTTGCAGACTGTGAGCTCACAACCAGAGGGAAGCAACAGTGCAAAAAGAAATCTCACACCACCAGAATGCAGCTGCAGGAAACTCGTTTTCATGGGGAAGGAAAGAGAGGCTACAAGCTGGAGGAAATGAATGGGATGAGCAAAGGGAAAAAGCATTGCTGCTGCTTTGGTTCAAAGCAAACTTGGAGTTTTTTGAGCCATTCTCATGCAACCACCAGCACTGGCACTGCTGTCTGTGCTGTAGTTCTAAGCCAGGCTGCCCACTCAAGCCCTTACCAGCAGCTGTTGGGGTTTTCCCCCTCAATATGCTGCTCCTGCTCAATTCAGTTCATACAGGCATCTCCATAGAGAATGTTTTTATACTGAACCCTGCCCAGGGAAGTGGGTAGGAACTCTATGATCCTTAAGGCCCCTCCCAACCAAAGCCATTTGTGATTCTTGAGCCCTCTCCAAAGTTCTACAAAGGTCAAACGTTGGGGGAAACACAGAGCCCAAAGCTTTATGTCTGTTCCCATCAATGCTGGATGGGCACCAGTGTTATCTGGGGTGTGCAAATGGGCACATGAGTGCAACCCTCCATCCTGCCTCCAAGAGGAAGCCTTCCCATAAGGAAAAGGCATTTCCACATGAATGGTGGGCTGGGGGATAAAGAGAGCCTTGGCTCAGGGCACCAGCACCAGTCCCACTTTGATGATGCCAATAACACCAATGCAAACATCCTTTCATCCTCGTGACACATCATCAAGCTGAAAACAAGGTGGCCGCTTTCCCAGCGGGGACAACTGCACAGCTTTGTGTCCCTGTGGATGGCGATGGCCCAGGGAAACTCCAGAGTTGTGCTGCAAAATGGGAAAGGTAACTTTTGCAACACGCTTAAGAAACGATAAAGGTGATGTCAGTGTTAAAGGAACAGCAGCAGTGCTGGGAACCTGGAGCAGCTCCTGCAAGCCAACAGCTGTTGCCATGGGAACGGCAGGAAGGTTGCTGGAATTCCTGTTGGTGACACAAATAAACCAAAAAGCCATATTTTACTTTAACCTTCATCTCTGGGTTGAGTCAACTGCACCCAGCGAACGCTCTCAGTGGGACCAGTCCATGTATGTACCTGAGTACGTGGTGATGAATGGGAGCAGATGGAAGACAGGGAGAAAGCCAGCGAGCACTCCTACAAACCCAACCAATGCTCCTGCTGAAGAAATCACAGCTGTGGGGATGAAGGCAATAAATCCATGCAATGGGAGCAGTGCTTGCCCACGCACACCTGGGTGTCAGCATCACCCTGGGGCTGTTGGACACGGCAGGGCTGGAGGCAGCAGTCAGTCTGCCCATCGTTTCTTGCAGAGGTCTGGCATCCTGACAGTTAATTAACTAGTTAATTAATTAGTTCTCTCTCCCGCGGGGCCTTGAGCTGGTCGCAGCACAGAGTCACTGTAATGCAGGCAGACAGGAGCTGGGAGGTTCAGGATCTCTCCATCGCAACGCTTCACCCAAGGGGAGAAGTCCACCAGCTGCGTGTGCCCCTCTGACAAACACAAGGAGACACCATCTCAGAGACCAGGCACTCAGAACAGACAGCTGCTGCGAAAAGAGCCCGCAGTGAGGCTGGAGATCAGCTGCAGGGAGCAGGATGGTGAGGCAAAGTGATGCTTTCGCTGCATCCCTTTGCATTCAGAGCGTGCGTTGCAATGGGAGATCCCACCTGCTGGCCCCAGCAGCCCGATGCGGTGATGCAGAGGAGTGTCTGAAGGGTTTTGTAGCCTATGGGCAGAGCCTGAGCAAACACAAGGACTTTGGACTGTGGGTTTTGTTCTCTAGGCGTCAAAGGAAGCAGGGGTTAATCATTGACAGAGCATTCAGCAGGGCTGCAAGGAGCAGGGCTGAAAGGGGCACAGGGGGGAAAAAGCATTGGGGTCGTTCTGGTTTGGTTCAGCAGAAACACAACACGTTGGTAAATTAATTCCTACGGACAAAAGGGTTCATTTAAATTGTAGAGAACATTCCTCACCTCTGGTGGGGGCTAAATGTGTTAAATGTAATGTATTTGGTGCTTTAATAAGGTTTCAAAAGGAAGTATTGTCAGAAGCTCAGATGCTTTGGTTCAAAGGCTGCCACGTGGAAATACTTCCACCAGAGCATCTCCTTCCTTCTGTTTTGCTGATCCCCTAAGCTAATTTTATAGGCAAACACATGAATCTCTTATCATTGTGCTTTCACTGTTCTCACTGTATCTGGAAGTTCTACTCCAGGTTCCACCACTCAATGCTTTCATGATGCTCTGTTTGTGTCCACCTGCAGCCATTCACACCCAACCCAGCAAGCACTTCTATGGCTGCTCCAGGTTCTCCAGCAGTGTTTGCACAGCCCAGCAAAGCCAGGAGGGATGGTGGTTGCATTCTGAGCTGCTCAGATAACCATGGCAGCAGAGCAAAGCCACCCCCAGGCAGAACAAGGCCAACAGTGAAGGAAGATCTTCTCACCTATCAGACCCCACCTCTCATCCTCTGCAGCTTCCACTCTTCCAGCCCAGCTCCTGCCCATCCTGGGGGTGTCTGCAAGAACACAGAGCTCTTCTACAGCAAACCTGATTACAATTGACCTCGGTGCTGCAGCACTTCAGCTGTTCCCCATTTAGCACCAATTCTGCTGTCATTCCTCTGCCCAAGCTGTTTCCTCCAGGCATGCATCCTTGCTGACAGCTCTCTGGAGGAGAAAGTTGCAGTGCATTAAGCTGGAGACGTGGAGGAGAGCTTGTGATGTGTCCCCAGGATGGGTCAGCAGCAGAGCTGGGGCAGTGAGTGGCCATGGGATGGGGCATCAGCAACCCCATAGGATTCACAGGGGCAAAAGCAGGCATTACAAGGCCTCAAACCCTACCAAATACATTTAAAAAGAAAACCTTATAGGGAAAAATTACTGTATTTAGAGGTGGCCAAAGCGACCCAGAGTGATCATGAGCAGTTCCAATGCAGCCCTCCCTCCATAGTTCCTTTAGGACACAGCATGCAAGAACAAAGAGGCAACAAAGAGGCACTGCAACCTTATTTCCTTACTTTGCACCTGATCCACTGCTGTTAGCCAAAAAAACAAGCTGAGTTATCACATTATAGCTATCCCCCAACTAGCTGAGTTACCATAGGTGTGACAGATACCCCCAACCATCAGCTTCAGTGTCTGGGAACCCAGGAAACTGGGAGGTGGGATGGGGCACAGCTCACCACCTCTGCACCACTCCATGTTTGTGTTGGTGATCTGCTCAATGAAATGAACAAGCACAATACATGCCAGGCTCGATCCCCAGGGAAGGAGGATGAGTTCCTACTCAGTTCTGGCAGGATCCCACGCTGCCTCACTCCTTTCCAGGGAGCTGGAGGAGACTTGGCACAAACAGAACTCCTCTGTGGGCGGAGGAAGCTCTGTCT